TACTTGAGTTATATGAAATTAAATCGTTTTTTATAACAATGAGAAAAATTATATTTTCCCTAATAAAATAATTTTTTAATTAAACATTTCCGTTATATTTTTATTTAGCGCATGCTCTGCAACTGTTATATTTATCATTGTGCTCACATCTAAGCCACAAAAATGAAAAAAACACTGCAGTAATTTCTTTTATAAAACGTTGTTTTAATTGCCATAGAACTAATTATTCCCATTGCAATTCTGAGTCATAAATTTGTAATAACAACAACTTTTAAAGGAAAGTTTTTGAATAGATTAAAAATGGTTTATGGAAATTGGCTCTCACGTTTATAGCTAAATGTATTTTTAAAAGGGGATTTTAAGTCTTCTCAAAAACCAACATTCTGCTCAGCTCTAGACCGGTAAATTTATTACAAATAAAGTTGCGGCTATTTAGCATATATAAACAACAACATAATATTTGCATTAACCTCACTAATTGAGTGCAGTCATGACTTAACAATTAAAGTTGTTAAGTGGAATTATTCAAAATTCTTCATTTCGTTTAGTAGGTGTTGTTGTTGCTATGCTATTCTTATATTTGATTTTTTAATTTATTTATTTTAATTACTTTTCTTTTAATTTTGGATTTTACTTAACATAATTTCAGTTCTAAAAAAAATTTTATTTTATTTTGTTTCATTTTTGTTCTCACTTTCCAATTTTTTTTATTCCTCTTTTTATAACTTTATTTCAGTTCATTTTAAATTTTATTTTCTTCGGCGACCGCGGTAGACGATTGGTTAGCATTGCAACTGCTCGGGAAGGCTCGGGTTAAAGTCCTGGTATCGTACTAACGTCCCAAAAGTCATAGAAAATTAATTTAAATAAAAATTAATAATATAATTTAATTTATTTTTTCAATTTTGTCTTTTCATATATTATTTCGTTTCATTTTATCTAATTTTTAATTTTCATTTTATCCATTTAATTTTCTTTTTTTCATTGAACTTAATTTAATTTAGTTTTATTTTACTTTCTAATTTGATTTTTTCATTTCACTTTGTGTTATCTTGATTTTATTATATTTATTTTATCTCATTTAATTTATTTTTTTTTTTTATTTTACTTCATTTAACTATTTTCTATTTTTTTTATATTTTACTTTATTTTCATATATTATATTTTTTTTTTTATTTAAATTTTTTTGATTTTATTTTGATAAATTTATTTTATTTTAGTCTAAATTTAAAATATAAGATAGAGTTTTTTTTTATTTTATATTATTTTATTCATCTTATTTTATTTTATCTTATTTGTCTCATTTCATTTTTATTCTTTTATTTTTTTCCAATGTGTCTTATTTCATTTTATTTTTTTATTATATTTTAATTTATTTATTTATTCTTTTCAATCAAGTTAAATAGAAATTTATTTTCCTTTCTTATTTTGTTTTATTCTCTTTTATTGCCTTTAATATAATTTAATTTTGTTTAATTTGATTTTATTTTAGTATAGTCTATTATTTTATGATTTATTGTTTTTTTATTGTATTTCTTTATTTTAACTAATTTAATTTTTTTATTCTGTTTTATTTTATTTAATTTTATTTTATTTTGTCTTATTTTATCTCATTTAATTCTTATTTTATTTTAATTTATTTTTCTGTTGTATTTCTTAATTTTAAATTAGTTTATTATATTTTTTTTAAATTATTTTATTTTATTTTATTTTAACAAATTTTATTTAATATTTTTATTTTAATTTACTTTATCTTATTCTGTTATTTTATTTTATTATATTCAACGTATCTGATTTAATATTATTTTGTCTCATTTAATTTTTAATATTTTGGTTTATTCCAATATATCTTATTTTACTATATTTTTTGTATTTTATTTTGATCTTTTTATTTAATTTAATTTTATTTTATTTTACTTTGTTTTACTTTTTTATTTTGTTTTATTTTATTTACTATATTCTCTTTTATTGTATTTAATTTAATATAATTTTGTTTAATTTTATTTTATTTTATTTTGGTATGGTCTATTATTTTATAATTTTTTAAATTTTATTTGTTATATTATATAATTATAATTTTTTTTCTTTTATTTCATTTTATTGTATTTTATCACATTTAATTTTTATTTTATTTTATTTTGTTTTATTATAATTTATTTTTAAGTTTAACTTAGAGAATTATATTTTTTTAAATTTATTTTATTTTAATTCATATATTTTAATTTATATATTTCTTATTATATTTAATATTTTCATTTTAATGTACTTTATCTAAATTTTTTATTTTATTTTATTGCTTTTTTTATTTATTTTATTTTGTTTCGTTTATCGCTTATATAACATTCTATTTTATTTTTTATATTATTTTAATTTTATCCATTTTTTATTTTATTTTATTTTACTTATGTTTTTAAATTTTTTTAATATACTTTTTTATTTTCCATGATTTAATTTTATTTAATTTTTTTTTATTTTTATTTTATTGTTCTATAACTTGATTTTGTTGTATTTTATCTGAGTTTTTATTTTATATTTTTATTTTTAATTTTTTTTCATCTTTTTTAATTGCATTTCTTATAATTCTGTTAAGAAAATATTCACCAAAATGTGTTAATAAATTATTTAAATTTGTTCCTGCATATTTTGAGTGCTAACAACTGAACAATTGGCGCTGAATAAAAAAGTGTAAATATTGGTGATGCCGAAGCGAAGCCGGTTTTGAAGCTAAGAACTTTCTTTTCGCAGCAATATATATTTATACATACATACTTATATACACAATCAGATATCTTCAACGGTTATATACATATTTTTCAAATTTAAGTAAAATATTTATATGTGTGCATAGGTATATATGTTCGTATGTTAAAGATGAATACCAAATTATTTCCTGTTCAAGCTAAAAATTTGCTTTTATTTTATTTATTATTATTATTTTTTCGGATCTAAATATAGTAAATTTATGAGACCTTTATTATTTAAATAAAAAATATATCTATTATTTGTATGTAAGCAGCTTCCATATTTCTTGATTAATCTACTAGACACTTTTTTATAAGCTTTTATCAGACAGATGTATATATGTATGCACATTTATTATTACATTTACCAGTACATCATTGTAAGAAGATAGATATGTCAGTCAGTGCCAAGATAGTACGCGATGCATGCAACAATTTATAGTTTGTGCACATTTTCATATAAATTCTTTCAGTCTTCACTGGTGCATCAGTGGCGGCCGTGGGTTGTGGTGTTGACTATTTTAAATCTCTATATACACCTCTTATCAATGCCAATCAACTTAGCTGGGGCAGTCTCTATGTACATATGTCTCCTACAAGTATAAGTAATAAAACGCCACCGCACATACTTCTCACTTAGACGAGTGAAATGCACTCAGCGAGATAAACGCTTTATAACCTAAATGAGTGGTTTTTTAATCTACTTTATGGTGTCTTAAATTAATTTTTCTTTCGCAATCTTATATATACTAGTTTAATATTTGGCGATGAGATTTCAGTAAATTTATGCATGTAGATCTTATATATATTGTATATATAATATATCTCAATGATGAAGAAATATTACTGTCAAGCGCAGAAGCAGTCGACTTGGAGCTTATTGCGCCATAAGTGAGAGTGTTACTAATATCCAACAGTAGTACAGGTTGCTCCTCTTAGACTTACACTTTATGAAACTCAATAATAATTCATGGATTATGGTATCAATGCACTAAATTGGGGCAATCATATTATATTTAAATATATTGCTTAAAGCGCATAATCATAATAATTTGAAATCGTGTCAGATAGATTACTGTTTATCGTAATTAATTAACAACTACATTATTTATTTATTTATATAAGCCTGTGCCTGGCATGTAAAAGTTTACAACGTTCATCTCGGGCTTTAGATATGAAAAGAGGAGAAGAAAGCCAAAGACTGGTATTAGCAACTGCATATATATATGTACATAAATACATACATATGTTTTATAATAAAAGAGAGTTTCAACTCTGGATCATACTCATAAGGGCACCAGAAAGGTCATTTGGTGAGTGATGTCCAGAGAATAATGATTTTTATGGAGGGAGCACATCTTCAAACTGCTGAGTGGCAGTGTAAGAGTGAAAGAGTAAAATCCAATCGTTGAGGATGGGAAAGCCGTTTCGATGCCCGATTTTGCTAAAGTTCGAATAGCAGTGCTCACTTGAAGACGAAGAAATTGAGTGAAGTCAATGGCTTAACCTGCTGAACTATTCAAATGTGCCGTTCAAAGTGTACCAACAACTTTGCAGAATATGATGGGACAACCATGTAATGGTTGGTTTGCTGCTAGGACTGTTAAAAACCCGTTATATTACAACGATACCATCTCGACACGGACCGAGTATCCTCGGGATGGAACTATGGCCTGATGGTTTCACCTACAAATACTTTGACCATCATGACACATGCTTTGGCAAGTAAGGTAAAGAAAAGCAACAATAAAAACAACAGATTTCAAGGAATAGCAGCGAACTCGGTAATTTATCGCCGAAAACTGAAGTGATTTTCGCCAAGCCCGTTCAGGTAGATAGCTTCTCTTGCAGAAAAAGAGAATAACAGAAACTACCTCTCTCGCTGAGTTGCCGTTATCTATACATAAAGAAGTTATTAACAGATTTGTGCAGTTTTTAAGATTTTTCCGCAAAATTTCGAATATTTTTAGTTAGCTCTTTTTATAACCTCAAACACATACTAATTATAATGCCACCCATGACACCCTGCAGAACGTTTATTTGCTTTCTGTGTATACTTTTTATGATCTAAATTGAGTTTTATTTTATATTTTGTTTTTATTTTATTTTATATTTTGTTTTTATTTTATTTTATATTTTATTTATTAATTTTTATTTTTTTTTATGTTTTATGTTATATCATATTTTATTTTTTTCGCTTTAATATTTTCTTATAAAATCTACCTTTACCTGTAAAAAATTTAATACTTTTCTACTCACCTCGAATGAAATCGTACCACCAGTTCCATATTTTTGAAATATATGCGCCAAATAACGATTATATTCGGTGGCCGTGTGAGATAATTGTGTTTGGCCGCAGAGAATGTAGACAAAAACGGTGAAAAAAATTTGCGCACGCGTAGAGTAAGCCATTTTGTTTTTAATTTTAATTAAATTTCGTGTTTTTTATATCTTTTGAATTATTTTTTGTTATTATTGTTTTTTATTTTAATATTTTCTCAATTTTTATTATTAATATTTTTTTTTGCCTCAAATTTTTTATTTATTTTTTAATTACTGTTATTTTTTTTATATAATACCTTTTGGATTTAAATTATGAAATTTAACTTTTTACTTAAATTATTTATTATCATTTTTTTTAAATTTTTATTTATTTTTTATTTTATTTTATTTATTTATTTATTTATAATATATAATTTTTGCTTAAGGTTTTATATTAATTTAATTATTATTTTTACTTTTTGATTTAATTTTTTTTAAATACAATTGTTGTTAAAAACTTTTATTTTTTAATTTTTTTAATTACTTTTTTTTTAAATTTTATTTATTTTTATTTAATTATTTTTATCTATTTTTAATTTTTTTATTTAAATCTTTTTCAATTTTTTTTATTTAATTAATTTTTTTATTTGAAGTTTTTCTTAACTTTTTATTATTATTTTTCAATTTCTACTGCACTTGAGCAAAACTAGGCCCCAAAAATATTTAAAAATAATTTAATTAAAATTTCCAAGAAAAAAATATTTCTCCTTCAATAATAATAAACCAGCTTTTTAATTATTTTCAGCTACTTATTTGCATAGAGTTGGCACTTTTTTATTTTTAGTTAATAAATGAAAGCCGTATTTTTATTGTTGTTTGAAAAACAAAAACCGGCTTTAACGTTTTCTTCACAAATAAGTTCGGGGGTTTTTTGCTCTTTATTTTATTTTTTCATGTTTCACTTGGTATTATTCATGAATACACTTTTTTCGTTCGTTATTTTGTTGTTCTTATTTTGTTGTTGTTATTTTGTTGTTGTTGTTATTTTGTTGTTGTTCATTTATGCTAATTCGCAGCACTTTTTTCACGCTTGGCACATACCAGTACGCGTTTAACCGAAATAGTCTCGTTTTTTTTATTGTGAAAAAAATATGAATTTTCGTATCTGTTTGTGGTGCTCTGCGCCTTCTTTGGTCCCAACAACTGTAATGTGTTTAATTTAAGTAATATTCAACCGTTGAACGCTCGCACTTGAAACGTACGCCAGTCATTGTCGCAGTCACTAATTCGATTGTACACTTTTTGGTGTATTTTTTTTTTAATTTTTATTCATTTATTTTTTTTTTTCGCTATCACAACACTTGATTCGCTTTTACTTGCTTCGTTTTATACTTTTTAAGCGCTCGTTCGCTGTCTTCATCCGCTTTACCGTTGAACGGTTGACGGGCTATTAAACGGTTTAGTGCACAGAACGCGCTATTTTAATCCAGCGGCGAGTTTGCTTAACGATCAACATGGCACACGCACACACACTCAGACAGACAGATACGAAGAGCCAACAAGATAAATAATCTCACTTCTCGAAGTAACGAGTTACGGTTAGTTAGCGGTTATTTAGTTCGTACGACTATCTGTCTGTGGCTGAGTGTGCATGTTGGATGTGTGAAAGCAAAAGCAGAGAAAGGTATAGTTTAAACGATCAGAGAGAAATATGTATAGAGAGAGAGAGAGCGGTAGAGAGCTTACAGTTAAAGTTAAGTTTTGCTTGCCAGCTTTCAGAAATTAAGCTCTAAGTAAATTTGTACGTACACACGTATGTAAATACATGTTGTGTTATGTCGCTCGTCCACGGTGGCGTATGAGCAACTTTTCTGATTTATTTGCCGTAGGATTACACCTTTTTACTAGTTCGTTTTTGTAATATGTAAATACATAGTATTATATATTTGATTAAGCTCAACTATGTAAATGATTATTTTTAATGAGTTCACAAGAAAATGGCTTTCCATCATTTTCTGAGGAATTTCGTCACGAAATTTCGGAAACGAATTCTTTGGAATAATAAAAATGGGGAAATATTATTTTAATACAAATTTTGTAATTTCTAAAGATATGCGCAGATATTAGTTTGGTAGGGATTGCTTTGTATATTTGTGTAGATTTTTACACTTTTGGTATGATTAGAAAAACAATTTAAATAAATTTTCTTAAAAATTATTTTAAAATATAATTATACAGTTCTTTTATTAGACCACGGACCAATAATGGGCATTGCATCGAACCTGGCCGAAAGAGAATAAGAAGAAATCACGAAGTACTTGAGATGCCGGGACTAATCCTATGTAATTAGACACGCGGAGTGACTAGGAGCTCACTATAGAAGATGCTGCAGAAGCTGCAAGCATAATCAAAAGGAGGAAAGAATTTCATGTGAGACTGTTGCACTTTGGGCTGGGTGAGGTTTCGGAATTTTCGTACCCTATTGCTGGATGATCTATCGAAGATAACCGATGTCAAAGGGAATCAAAATGGCTGGATAACTATGTCAAATAGACCTTAGTGTAATCGATACGATAGTTCGGTTGTCATTACAGCCTGACTTAATGGTTTGTAAAATAGCGTTAACCTCATTAAAATCAATTACATGTTTCCTAAAATCAAATTGACTGTTTCAAAATCTGATTGGCCCTGATTTTTGAAACTAAAACTTGGTAAAATTTAACTCGAATATTTTCTCAATTTTAGTTTACTAGAGCGGCAAGAGTGGTAAGTTTGAAGTCCTTAGTCAAGTGACCTCTATTATTGTATACAAGTAGATCGATTTCAGAGTGAAAGTGAAGATAATAATAGCACAACCGAAAACTCTGTTAGACTTAGACATTTAGTCTCGAATTTAATTTCAAAATTGACTCAACTCATTTTTTTTTGTTCATTTTGTGTGTTTATTCTTCTTCTTTTTCTTTGTATTTATATTTCAATTTTTCTGCCTGATTATTGGTATTTTCTATTTACCTTAAGATTTAGTTGCGCCTAGAAAATATTGTGTGACGAAAAACTTAATTGATAATAGAAAATATATACAAAATTCTGCTCTTGAAATGGAATATAAAACATTTGTTGGTGTAGTGTGGAAAATGTTTGTTTGTAGTCTCACAACTGATCATTACTGTTAGGCATTGTTCGCACCAATGTGATAAGCATGATTTCATAATGTGGAGCAGGTCTATTCCTCATATTGAATATTGAGAGTAAACTTTTGTGTTATCGAAATAGGATTGAGGAGGCTGCAGACTGAACTGCGTCAGCAAGTAGGCGCCAGTGATAAGGAAAGGAGATTAACTGAAATTAGGCCGAACATCATTTATTTTGAAACTGAATGTGGATAACAAAGATTCATAAAATTTGATTTTATATTATTTAATTTATTTTTATTGACAGATTAATTCCAGATTATGAATTCCACTGACAGTCAAACATTTCTTTTTTGGGATTATTTTTGGAAGTCAGGCAGTCTGTGATCTTTTTCCAAGAGTTTGCTCGGTTAACTGAGAGCATATTTTTCCCTGAAATATATGATATTAAATACAAATATATTCCTGCCAAATAGTGCATCTGTTTAATAAAATCTTTTCACTTATTTTTTTTTATGTACAAATATGAACTTTATTTGATAATCTTTCAACGGTTTTAAATTTGTAAATGTTAATACATACATATACAATAACAAAAACATTTAATGAGCCTTCATATATGTATGTAAAATTCATAATGTTTTAATTATAATTTTTTTTTTGATTTGTTTTTATAATTTAAAAATATATTAATTGTCATATTTCGATAAGTAATATTAAACCTAAACTTATTTTTTCAAATTACTTATTTATTTATATTTTATATATTTTTCATTTTAATTATTGTATTTTTTACTTTGTTGTTGTTATAAATTTTATTTATTTACTTTATATTTTAATTATTTATTTATTTATTTATTTATATTAGTTATTTGTGTTTTATTTTTCAATTAGTTGCTTTTATTATATTTGTTTCATTATTAAACATTTTTTTAAGTCTTACATTTTTTGTTTCCATATTTTTGATTCAAAATATTTTCAATTCTTTTTTAAATTAATAATATTTATTAATTTATTTTATTTCTATTTCTTTTTTTTTGCTTAAATTATTTGTTTAATTAATGGCTTTTACTGCATTTAGTTTTCAATTAAAATTTTTTTTTTATTTTTGTTTATATATTTTTATTATTTACTTATGTTTAAATTTATATAAAATTATACAATTTTTTAAATTTTATTAGATTTCATTTTTCATTAATTTTCGTTATTTTACGCTTTATTTATTTTATTTTAAAATGCGTTTTAATTAATCCATGCATTTTTTATTCATATATTTTTTTAATTTATATTTTTATTAATTTACAATTTTTCGATTTTACTTAATTGCATAATAATTTTTTGTTTTATTATTTCTTTTTATTTAATTTTTTATATTTCTTTATTTAATTTATTTATTTTTATTGAAACAATTATATAAATAAATTTCATACTAAGTAAAATCATAAAAATATAATCTAAAATAAATGATTTAATATTTGTATTATATTTTTATAATTTTACTTCGCATGAAATTATTTATTTATTTAATTGTTTATATTATTCATTTTGTTTTATTTTATTTTTGATGTTTTTAATATATTTTTTTTATTAAATATATTTTTTATTCATATATTCTTAAAATTGTTTTTTTTTTTTTAATAGATCAGTACCGTTAAGTTTATATATTTCTTTTTTACGTTTTCCAAAATTTTTATTTTTTCGTTTTATTTATTTTCTTTTCCTTTTGCAATTATTTGTTTATTTTAATTAAATTTTTTTGTCTTTTATTAAGTTCATTTTTTTATTAAAAATATGTTCAAAAAATATTGTTTTATTTCACACTTGTTTTATTTAAATTTTTTATTTATATTTTTTCAATTTTGTTTTATTTCAAATTATTTGGCTTTATTCCGTTTCTCTTTCATTTAATTTCTTTTTGATTTTTCACAAATTTTTTCAATTATATTTTAACATTTTAATAATCTAATTTTTTGGATATTCTAATTTTTCGTATTTTTTATTCTAAATATTTTTTTATTCTAAAATGTAATATTTTATAATCTTCAATATTACTTAAATATTTTTTATATATATTTTTTTATTAAAATCTATGTTTTCGTCTCACGTATGTATGTATGTATATTTCATTTTGTCTTTTCTACTCAAACTAAATAATTGACTTAAATATAATTATTATATGTCTGTGGACATGAACATGCGATTTAAAAATATCATCTTTTATAGCATTAAAATGTAATATTTACAATACAGCTACTTAAAGTAATATTTTGTTGTTGCTGTTGTATAATCACTTAAGGAATTGAATGTCATAAAAATAACTAGAGATATTTATAATTATATAAAAATATTTTGAACAAGTTTAGAAGTCTGGGAAACAGTTTCGAAATAATTTTATAGGTTAAAAAAATATTCCAAGAAAATAAATATGTATATATGTATGTATAATATGCGTATCATTAGAAGCGGTCTTTCAAAAATGGAATTTGAAGAAATCGCTTCGGCGAATTGTACATATATGTATATATATATACTCGTACTCGCAAATATATACATAGACGTATATATGAAGTTTGATGCTTTTCAGTTGCTACATTTTTGTATAAAATATTTACCAAATATGGAAACTGTCTCAATATTCACATAAATTGGTGAAGAAAATTAAAAAAAAATATATATATTTATATTTTTATTAGCATATCATCTGGTACTTTCTGGCTTGAATCAACAACAATATTCAAAGGAAACTACTTTAAGAAATTTATTTTAAAACATTTTATGCAATAGAATTTTTAGTTATTTTTTGATATTGTATTTATTTTTAAAGATTGAAATTAGTATTTACGGCGGCCATGAACCGAGCCACCGAACTTTAGTTTATTACAAAACACGTCCGTAAGATTATAGCTCAAACGGCCATCTGTCGCACCTTCCTTCCGTGCGTAAGAGAAAAAATTGCTTGCAACGGCGAAATCAGCTGCTATGTTACCAGCTGTTAGTTTACAGGCATACTGTGAGATGGCGCTGTAAATCGTTTGTGGTGTGGGAAATTATTTTGCTTTGAAAATGTAAAAAACTCTGATTAAAATACCTAATGCTATTCTTTTCTGCTATAAAAAGCTAAGAGGCGCCACCGGAACTGGCCGAAAATTTAATTTGGCTCAATTGAATACCGTACCCAGTAGCGGTTAGCCCCATTCAGTCACAGAAAATTCGATAAGAAGGATACTCGTGGTATCTGGCAAACTGATATTAAGCAACTGGTGAAGCAATACCGGGATGAGAGCTCTTTGGAGATTCTTGAAGCATTAGATATTAGTAACACTGATGCAAAACAATCGGATTGACGGAATCACGGTACGTGAAACGCAACTGGCACACGAAAACCGAACAATCATTGATCTTCGAAAATAGTTAATATGCGAATATTAAAAAAGAACTAAATCGTGGCCAGAGCCAAAGGTGACCCTCCACAACCGCCTACTAAGCCTGCATTGATGGCAGTGTAGCGTTATAAAACTCCATCTAGCAACCTTTTAAAATAGCGAACAATCAGCTAAGCAGGGTTTGGGGAAGCAATAAATCGCTTTTGATTTCTCTTATATAACCGTCAGAGACATAACCGTTTAGCGATGGTGCTCTCATAAGACGGTGGGTCGTAACAGCTGAGTCCGTACGTTTTTGGCTGATTGAGCTTTAAGGATCTGTATTGTCAAACGAGTAAAGAATTAATATTATTCTATACAAAAATGCTCAAAGCTCACGTTTTCTAAACTATTTTTTTTTTTAATAATTTTTAATAATTTCAAAACATTTTTTATATTTCCTGCCTGACATCTCAAGGCACTTTAGCACGTAATTTATCCATTTAGATCCATATTTTTTAAGAATATTGTTTTATTTTCTATAAAATGTGTATATGAGGTTCCCTAAATATTGTCGGAAGTTAACGGTTTCCTTTTCTGCCTCGTCTCACAAAAGTCAATATACATTAGCCTAACTTAATATTTAACGCTTAAACTCTAATCAAATTTCTCCTGATTTGGCATACAAATAAAGAATTTCGAACACCAGAGGTTTATCGCTTGTGACAAGTTCGTTAAACATTTGACAGGTCGATGTATGGTCAGGTAGTAGATGGGAATGCCAGAGAGTATGATAACTGTGCCGATACCGACTTCCACAGGCGACTCCATAACCGATGAGATCACAAGGAAGAGACAAGTGAGCAAGAATAGTATGGGCAAAACGAGATTGACACGTATAGGTCGTTCGGTTTTCGGTTGTTTATAGCGCAACCACAAGAGACCCGAGACGGAGAGCAACGTAAAGAGCGCTTCCACATAACTGACGTAGTTGATGAGTGAGTAGACATTTCGAATGAAGAGCAGTACCAAGGTAATGGCGCACTGTGGGTGAGAGAAAAAAATATTAAATTAATAAAATTAAAAAAAAAAATATTAAATTAAACGCTTAAAGTTAAAAAAAAATAAAATTAAATTAAACGCTTATAATTTAAAAAAAAAATAAATTAAAAAAATAAAAATAAAAATATTAAAAAAAAAATTAAATAAAAAAAAATTAATAAATAAAAAAATATAAATTAAAAAAAAAATAAAAAATATAAAATATTTAATTTAAAAAAAAAAGTTAATAAATACTTTGCCTTAACTACCCCTCCCCTGAAACTCACCAAAAATATCAGCGACGGCACGGGCGTTAAGCAATTCACATTGATGAGCGATATGGCCGCTGGTAGATGACCATTACGTGCGCCAACAAAGAATAGACGTGACGATGCGAATATGGCACCATTCAGCGAACCAAAAGTGGAGCAGGCCACAAAGAAGGGCATCAGCCAAGACATAAAACCGAGCATTTTATTGCCGAACGTTACAGCGACCGCATCCGATGACAACATTTCCTCGGGTGAAAGCACCGAAAAGTAGGCAATATTTGTCACCACATAAATGAGTGTCACCACAGGCATGGAAATACAAATGGCACGTGGTAAATTCTTATACGGATCTTTCAGTTCTTCGGTAACGAAATTCAAATAATTCCAACCGGAATATGAGAAGAGACCATTGTAGAAGGCCAGCGCTATCATGCCGGGTTTCGTGTAAGTGCCACGCATCGGCTCATCCCATTGTTCGGTGTGTCCAGCGAAGAGATACCAAACGCCAGCAGCGACAATTACCAACAGTGCAAAGACTTTGGTGCCGGTAAAGATGTCTGTGACGCGTGTCACCCAACGTACATTGTAACAATTGATGACCGTGAGTATGCCTGAGTGAGAAAAAGAGTGTGCAAGTTATTCTAAGCTTGCTTAATGAGTGCCCTAATTCAAAGACTCACATGTCATCACTGCCGCCAGCAGTTGGACCGCTGCAATGGGCGCATCGCAGGATTGCCAAAATGGTTGTAGTAAATATTGTGCGAATGTCAGCGCTGTTATAGCATTTCCAGTTGGCACGAGCACCAGCAGTGCCACCCAGAGATAAAGGAATGCGGGTAGTGGTCCGAATGCGGTACCGATGTAAGCATAATCTCCACCGGACTTTGGTATCATTGTGCCTGTGGAAGAGATAAAAGAAAATTAACAAAAATTCAGCTCATATATGTTTGTATGTGATTGCGATTAAAAATTAATTTAATATTATATGTAAAAGTATGAAAGACCCCTTTTGATGACGACCCTTGCAAACGTTTAAGGATCATGTAATGTCCGCTCCCTCAATTGGGTAGGTGGCGCTTCACGGCTGGTTGAAGTCCTCGTGCGACTAAAGATTGACAACGCCCCGGTCCAAAAAGTGCAATGGAAAGTACAAGGATGAAAGAAGGTGGGTCTTTCTGAAACCTACAACAGGGTCCATATAAAGAAGCGTAAAATTGATGCTGGATTTGTGGCGATAGAAAGAGACTCCATCACCGAGTTCACCTCCAAACGGAGTTCTTCAACATATCGCTGATTTGCAACAACACGCGCCATCGGAAGAAAAAGACTATCGGTCCAAAGCTGTGTCCAACGAGTGCTGCCAAGTCATGAAAATCAGTCCGAAAATTCGAGAAATAGCGATTTGAGTGGTTGGGTAATATCGTCAGATGACAGGATTACAGCACTTCAGCTGCGAATGTACCGTAAAGTATCCGCTGATGGTAGCAGGTAAATAATAAGACCTCCACTCTGCTGGAAGGATCAGGTGAAGAAGGCCACTTGTGTCTCCAATCGGAACCGATACGGAAGGGGAAGAAACAAATGGTGGGCCATGGTTGGCTCGATTTTTATCGCGTAAGCGGTTCCTATGCCAATTTAGAAGAAGAAGAAGGAATTTCTTTTTATGAAATAGCGTTGATTGATCGTTTTTAAAGACCAAAAGTTTAAAAGAAATTTGACAATTTCAATAGAGTCATCCCTCTCGATGAGCTCAGAGGAGCCAACACCTGAAAAAATATGTCAAGTTGGAGTAAATTTCAAAGTTTTCTTCACTGTTCCCTATGATTTTCGTAACGTTTACCATCAGGAGCTCTTACAAACTAGGTCATGTTAGACTTTTACCTATCGAGACTCGATTTCAACATATCCAATTTATGCCCTGCATGTGGAGGGTCTCCGCTCGATACTAACCGCCTCTTCACACACTCCCTTAGGCCGATACATATAACCCCCTTCTTCGTCTGGTCCGATCCCGTCGAAACAGCACGTTTCCTGGACCTGAAGTTAGATGACCGCGGTGACTTAGATTGATTAACCTGTTCCTAAACGGAGTTAACTTAGCCGCTACAACAACAACAACAACTAGGACATACAGTCAATATTGGAGCTTTCATAAACCACTTAATTTTTTAGTGAAGGTATCTTTTGCAAAACTTTAATCGATGAACGAAAACAACATTTGCCAGCTGAAAATTTTCAGCACTTGGCAGCACTGAAATAAATCGGGTTCGCTGCTTAAGTCTTTTGTTTCTTAAAGCGGCGTTGAGAGACCAAAAATTATTTCTTTCACACGTTTGTAATGAAAGAATTTCTGGTTTCTGGGAATGAAGTTTCACGGAAATGATAAAAAATAACATTATATTCTATATATTTAAGATTTTTTCTTTTTCAAAAATCCTTTAAAACCTTTTAGATATCTAGATAAAAAGTTTTTTAGGAAGAGTAACTAATTTTAATGAAAATATAATAACTGTATTGTATATATTATAAAAAAGGTAAGAAAATATATGAAAAATAATTGTTAAATTATTTAAATACTAATATATTTTATATTATTTTAGTATATTATTTTGGCATTCAAACTAAGTACTCTCTAACTAAAACGGTATTGTATCGATAGTGAGTAATAAAATAGTATTTAAATCTATTCAAAAATCAGTTTTTAAATTTTTTTAATAAAAAATAAAAAATAAAAATTATTTTTTTGTATATTATTTTTTTAGTTATGTTTTAATTTTTTGGTTTTATTAAATTTTTCTTTTAATTTACTATTTAATTTTTCTTAATATAACTTTAAAGTAATTTTTTAAGTATCTTTTCAAATTTTTTAGTAATATATTAATTTCTTTGTTAACATTATTTTTCACATCTCTCAAACTTTTTATTCCTTTTTTATTTATTTTTTGTTTATTTTATTAACATTTTACTATTTTTTTATTTTAAATTTTTATTTTTTATTTTTTATTAATATATAATTTTTTGGTATTCTGATTTTTCTTAATATTTATTTTTAATATTTAATAGAAAAAAACCAATCCCACATATTGTTTCCTTATTTTTTAATTTCTTTTATATATTTCGATTTTAAATATTTTTTGAGTTTTTTAATTTATTTTTTTTTTTTAAATAAATTTTTTTAGTTCCAAAAATTGATTTACATTTAAAAAATAATAAACCTTTTCAATATATTTTATTTTATTATAATTCTTCCTTTTAAATTTATTTAAATATTTTTTATTATATTTCCATTTATTTATTTTTATTTTTATAAATTTTTTAGTTTCATTACTTTGTTTCATATCTCTAAATGAATAAACTAATTAAACAAACATTTATTGCTACGTTTTTATATATGATTCCCTTAATTGATTTTAAAACATAGTTGGCAACGCAATGCATTAAAATTTCGTAAGTGAAATGATTCAGTAAGAGCGTACGAGTGTTTCTCAACAATTTACACGCCTCTCAAAATATTTATTCTCTCCGCTTATCAGCAAAACGAAAGCGAATATATACATACGATTTTTGTTTGTATATAATACATACCACAATTGCCGCGTGTATGAGAAAAACGTGTGAGAAATACGAAACAAATGCAAAAAATTTGTACATATTTTTGTACATATGTACATATGTATTTATGCACCTATAAAAATCAAAAAGCCGGCGACTCTAATACAAAGACTTCATTAGAAATGCCTGAGACATTTGAAAGGTATGAAACAGAATAAATTTTCGAATATAACACATACATATATACTTATAAAAAATAAATATAAAATAAAAAACAGTAGCAGAGAGGCACTGCGGGAACTAAGACTGCACAAATATGCTAGTTTTTTCTGTAAGAATTAATTTTTAACTGATATCTATATTTCTTAATTTTAAATAGTTAATGAAGATATTGAGTGAAGAACAATTTTTGGAAAAAATGTATTATTATTTTCTTAAATTTTTTTAACGATTTTGAACTTAAAATTAATTTCCATGTCTTATAAAAAATATATATTAATATATTTGATGCGGGATAACGGGTTGGTGTCAAATTTTCTACTGGGTTTTGGTATATTCCTTTTACCTGTTGCTCTTCTACATATGTTTGCTAATTCTCCAGACAAAAATATGTTGGAATATACGCAATGTGTATGTATGTATTTTTTGTCTGTTTATTTTGGCTGACGTCATTGACTATTTATCCTCTTTTTCGGCAATATTTCAACAAAGGATTACCCATGTAAATGCCGGTAAGCAAACAATAAATGTTTTGTCAATAAATACATAATTAAATTCAGACTTAAAGCTTTATTATTGGTCATAAAGGTGAAACCTTATTTATTGCGAGCAATATTGGTTAATTAATTTTTGGGTAATTATAATAATACTATAATCATTGGCTTTACTAAAATTAAAATTATTTTTTCTAGCGAAATTTAATCTAGTTGGGACCGATTACTGGGCATACGCCTAAGAATTTGACTCACTTATTATTATTTGCTGGTTAATTATTGATATATGTATGGATGTTGGTTATTGACCTAATTAACAAACTCGTTACAGATAACTACCGATAAATTTGATGATGAAAACAGTATGCCATTAGATAAGTTATTCAGACAAGATAAGCTGTTTTCATTTCAAAATTATTTTATTGCTAAAGCAGAAGAAATCCATTTTTAGTTTTAATTTTATTTTTATTTCATTATTCTTTTAACAATTTTCTTTTCAATTTAATTGTTTTTAACATTACTTTATTTCATTTTAATTTATTTTAATTTATTTATTTTTTTTTAATTTTATTTTATGTCTTTTTTATTTTATTTTATTTTTTTTATGTTATTTTTTAATTTTTTTATTTGATTTTATTTTATTTTATTTTATTTTATTTTATTTTATTTTATTTTATTTTATTTTATTTTATTTTATTTTATTTTATTTTATTTTATTTTATTTTTTTTTATTTTATTTAATTTTGTTTTGTTTTATTTTATATATATTTTTTTATTTTAGCTCATGTTTTGTTCAATACATTTTAATAGAATTATTTTTTGGTCATTTATTTTAGTTTATTTTACTTAAGTTTATTAGTTTAAAATATTTTTTTTTATTTTAACTAATATAATTTGGTCATATATTTTTTATTTTATTTTCTCTTTTAATGTTTTCTTCTATTAAGAAATGTTATTTAAAATATTTTATTTTATTAAGCAAGAATTTAAATTAAAAGCCCTAAATGGTATGAATTATTTCTTCATCCAAAAAAGGTTGCCACTTCACTCATTTCTTCTACTTCATGACCTGAAATAAACTCTAAGCAAGATTGTATGCATGTAAAAGTATGTGTGTTAGCGCGATTGGCCGTGGTAATATCAGCAAACTTTTTGGCTGATGTAAGTTTTCTTACAAATTCGTGAGCTGAAATTGCATCATGTTTTCTTCGTAGACTTTTAACAATATTCTCCAAAAATACCTATGCCTGGAGAGACTCGCGTGCTCGCTGGCAATCATTGCGCCAAACGGGCAAGATTATTGCGGTGAAAATTAAGACTATTTGAGGTAAATAAATAAATACTCGCACAAGACTCTGGTTTATTTTATCTACCTTCGCAGTCTGAAATATGTATATGTAGGTATGTATGTAGGTAGACGATACACATATATATAAAAATTCTGATTTTTATTTAATATTTTATCTATAAATATATGTATTTGAGTAGATAAAAATACGAAACATATCGAACAGTGTACCGATATAATTGTTTACAAATGGGTTGGGTCAGATTTGTGCAATACATATTTTTGTAAATTTTACCGTGAATATGTTATGTAAATGAATATATACTAATGTACTTCTGATATCACGCATTTATAGTATATTTTTGTATATTTCTTTGTGCAAATATTACGCTTTTCAAAGAATTATTAAAAACTTATTAAATTAAATAAATAATTGAGCTTTAAGTTGAGTATTTATATACTTTAGTTCAATGATGTGTATTTAAGCATTTTTTTAAGTACGCACATAAGTATGTATGTATGTATGTATGCATATATATGCATTTAAAGTTTGTCATTTCAATTTTATCAAACAATTTTCTTTATCTTCCACCGTGTTGGCTTTATTGGCTTAAAATTCCATTATGATCAATTAATGTTTAATTTTTTGCACAATTATCGTTAAAAATCAATTAGTTTTAAGAACTTAAAATTTTTGTTAGATTTTCTTTTTTACAACTTTTTCATCATGCTTAAGTATGTATTAGGGTGGCTCCAAAAAATTATTTATTGTGAATATTTATATTCTTTTTTTAGAAAATTAATTAATTCATAATCATTTCATTAGAAATTATGGATAATATAATAATATTAATGTTTTTTGTTTCTAATAAAGAGGATATGCTGTAAGCATTATAAGGAAAATAGATTTTTTAAACATCCTTTAGTAACATGCTCAAAAAGTGCCACCCTTACACTATATACTACGTAGTATGCAAGTCTCTTTAATCGCTAGTAGTTAAAAATGAAGTTCGATGTAAAAACTCTCAAGTTTTTTTAATCAAATTAGTGAAATAAAAATATTTTCAAATGACTTTGAACTAGTTACATATGCACATACCATTATAATAGAGTAGGTTTGTTATTCTTATTAAGACAAATTTGAAAAATTTTGAAGGTTTCTTATTCTAAATATTACACTTTATTATTTAGCTATACGTAAACGGAAACATTTATTTGTCTATTAACAGGTGTAAATGTTTGTTAACGCTTAGTAGTAAATTTTTCATCATTTCGAGGTTAGGTTTCTGATATAAATATTTATATTAGGTCAAGTAAAAAGTTCGTTCGGCTTTTACCTAAGAGATGGGGTTATCCTCCATAGTACTAGTGTTACGTGTCGGATCATATCATACTATACAGCACTGAAAACATGTTTACTCACGCTAAAAGTTTGTCTTTGACAGTTTTTCGATTGATTGCCTCAGTACGCTGGGAGATCGCGTCAAAGATGGACACCAGCAAAGAGAAAATTCGCTATATTTTACAATTCTCCTTCGATCAAGGCGAAAAAGCAGCCAAAGCGGCTGAGAAAATTAATTTAGTTTAGTTTAGTGGTCTGCTAGGTTCCGTTCCGGTAATTTCGGTGTGAAAGATGCACCACGCGTAGGGAGGCCTGTCGTCGAAAATTGCGATATAATCATGAAAATAGTGGAAACAGACCGTCACGTGGGCACTTATTTAATTGCTGAGGAACTAAAGATAAGCCCGAAAACCGTTTGCAACCATTTGCATAACCTTCGATTCAAAAAGAAGCTCAAAGCTTGGATGCCACACGAACTGACGCCAAAAAAAAAACCGAATTCGTTGCTCAATCGAGACAAAATCGACCTGTTTCTGAAGCGGTTTGTGCCAGGCGATGAAAAATGGGTCACTTACGACAACTTCGAGCGCAAACGGTCGTGGTTAAAGCCCGGGGAAGCGCCCCAGATGGTGACCAAGACCGGATTGCTGTGTGTTTGGTGGGATTGGCAAGGAATCATTTACTACGAGCTGCTCTTCTATGGCCAAACGCTCAATTCGGCGCTCTACTGCCATCAAATGGACTGCTCGAAGGCAGCACTCATCCAGAAGAGGCCATCTTTAATCAAAAGAGGCCGAATTGTGTTCCATCAGCACAACGCCAGACCACACATGTCTTTGGTGATGCGCCAGAAGTTCCAAGAGTTCGGATGGGAGGTCCTATTGCACCCACCTTATCGTCCGAATCTGGCACTAAGTGATTACCATCTTTTCCTGTCCATGGCGAAAGCGCTTAATGGTGAGAAGTTGGCCTCAAGAGAGACCTGCTAAAATTGGCTCTCCAAATTTTTTGACAACTGGACGCAGCCTTCTACGAGAGGGGTATATTGAAGTTGGCATCTCGTTATCAATGAGTTAACGAACAAAACGGCGCATATTTGATTCAAATCGGACAAATTTATCACATTTTGAAAAACCATTAAAAAAACTGAACGAACTTTTTACTTGACCTAACATTTATATAAATATATTTTGTATATACAATCCACAATGAGTAACCTCTAAGCCCATATTCGCGCCTTCTTCAAGCAAATACATCTTGGTCAAGCATGACCAGAGAACAACTGTAGAGCCCCGCCAGCTTATTTGTCTAAAAATTCTCGGTAGAGCTTCCGAGTCTAATTGTTTTGCTAACCTATGAAGAGTAATAGCAAGCAAATTCTTTCCGAGGATAATTACAATAAATTGAATTTCATCATCATCAGAAAGCAATGGAATGGCAGAAGAAGATCACGTGAACTTATTGAGCTAAAAAGAAAGGAGATAGCCACAGTTATAGGTTTTCTACAGGGCATATTCTATTGGGCAGGCAGAGATGTTAGTCGTACCATCGAACAACTTTTACAGAACTAGCAGACAAGAAGAAGAAGACCTTGAAACCTTAAGGTACTTGCTCTGCCATTGTTCCGAGTAGACCGAAGTCTCTACCTTTGCGGACCTGAGCGTGGGGCTAAGAAACATTGACCGTTCAGTTTAACAAACTTCACACATTTCTTTTTGATCAGCGGGTGGGGGTTCTTAGGATCCTCAGTGGCATAACAATGGGCCCACTGAAGATGAGCTTATGCCTGCCAGCTACGGCAACCAACCAACCAAGAGATAGCAAAAATTACAAAAAATCATAGTCTCATTAAATTCATTAATTAAATCATTGAAAAATTGTTAGTATAAAATTACACAATTTATTTATTTTTTTTTTTTTTGAAATAAATAAATATTTACTTTACTAATTTGCATACAACACTCTATGTGTTAACTGAGTACTTAAGTATGAAGTGGTAAAATTATGCAAATTATCAACTCTTCACAAGTTCAATGGCGCGAAATGACACTAAGCGCCATATGGAACTTAACCGCTGAACAAATCGGCGGCTAAAATATTTGCATAAATCAATGCGGAATATTAAAGTAAAAGGGATTTATTATATAGCGGGTTTTCAGTAAGGGTTCGGCCATGCCCAAGTCATATAACCTTTCATTATCATATCATCGAATTTAAGGTATTTTATTTTTGAATTATAAATATATTAATTTTTATATCTGAAATTTGTTTGGAGGGAGCAACAAGAGGACGTTTCTCGATTTCAATGATTTTCGGTTTCAAAAGTTATTTGTAAATATTTTTAAAATAGCAAATTTCACATTTTGAGTAATGTTTTGACAAATTTTAGATCCAACCACGGCAAATCATAACAAATTGGCTTGGTTGGGGGCTGATGACAAAGTTTGCCGATTTCGAATTTTATGTTCAAGTACGATTTATTCAAGTATTCATGAGTCAAAATCGCATATCTGATCAGAGCGATTGTTTTGAGGGGCTATATCGACTTAGAAAAATGATTAATTTTTATATGTATTTATCAAGTTTGACTAAAAAACTGAGGGTGTGACTTGGATACCAACATACGGACAGACGGACTTCTTTAAATCAGCTCAACACGTCATACTCATCCGATTGGTATTAATTTTGGTGGGCCTGTCTCCTCTACTTCTGGTAATTTATATGCTTCCTACCAAAGTTAATATACCATTTCATGTATATGAAGGGTGTGGGAAATAATTTCGCTTTTGGCAATCTTCCCGAAAATATATAAAATGAAAATAAGCTACCTGATTAAAAGAGTATGACCAAATTTTTAGTTGAACATAACATCAAAATACTTGAAGTCAGTGAAAAATATCCTATAAATGTACAATTCCTGCACGCAAACATATTTATAGTCAGTGTGTGTGTGTGTGTTTTTTTTTTGTCAAATATTTTTATATACATATCTCCAGCTACTCACCCAATTCGGCATAACACAGCGCACCAACCATACTCAATGCCCCGCATAATATCCAAACAATCAACGATTGACCAATTGAACCCGAATAAATGAGTACACCTTTGGGACTGACAAATATGCCGGCGCCAACAATAACGCCCACAATTATAGCAACACCATCGAGTAGACCAATTTGTTTTTTCAACTTAACACCCGAACCTTGACTCGAACTGTCTGTTGAATGATTGTGGTGTTGTTGTGCGACATCGGCGGTTGAATTGACGGGTGTATCGAAGATGGGACGAGGTACAAGATTATCACCGGCTTGTATGCGTGCCATTGTTTGTGTGTGTTTGTTTGTGTTTGTATGCTTGTTTTACTTTCGAATTGCAAAATTTAACTCAATTTGAGTTATTTGTTGTTGGAATGTTGTTTCGAGGTGTTTTGTTTTGAGTGTTTTACTTCTACGCTTTTTTCGATTTGGAGGTAGAATGGGTTGTTTATCGTTTTGTTGTTTTTTTGTATTTGTTTTTATTGTTGTTGTAATTTTTTCTCCACTTAAGTCCTTTAAGGGTTGAAGGTGTGTTTATTTGGCAAGAGGGTTGTGTTTGTGTGAGTTTGTAGTAGATATTTTTTTGCTTTGTTGAGTAGCGTTGTTACGCATGCGTAGTTGTTGTTGTTATATTTTTTCGTGGCTTACGAAATTTCGATTAGTTTGCTGCCAATCCAATTGTCTTATTGCATCAGCCAGTGCTTGCTGTGAGATTGTCTTTTTTGCATGTACGCCTGCGCACACCTACTTATTCGCGCTCACACGCACACATACACAAACGTAATGTATTTTTAAGCGTTAAATAGTCGTTTTGGCTTGTTTTTAATTTAGTTTTTTTTTGTTAATTTGAAATATTTGGCAATTTTTTTGAATTTATTTTCTTAATTCTCAGTTTGTTTTTATGCTTTTCTTTTCACTTCTCATTTACTGCTGGGTTGATAGCTGCTCTCATGGCATACTCATTCATTTACGCGCGCACCCCAAACGCCTTATCAGCATGTCAACGTTGACAAAATTTGCATTTCGTATGCGAATGCTGTTACATTTGTGCTTGTATATTTTGTTTTTGATTTTTTTTTTTTACACTTTAACGTTGTTCTACTCATTCACTGAGCGTTGATTGTTTGTTCTAACACAGCTGGATATATAAAAAATTAAATAAGAAATATATTAAACATTTTTCGTTTTACGATTTCGGATTGGGAAAGTCGAATGGTACTGAGTGAATTTGGTTTTTGAATTTTTAAGTTTTTTAATATATATAGCTACATATATTTATATATAAATTTATATATGTAAATTTAATATAATATTTTTAATGTATATATTTGTTTTATAATTTTTTACAATATTTTTTTTTTTTAATTTTTTTATATTATTTACTTATTTAAATATAATTTTTTATATATGTTACGTTTTTTAAATATGTTTATTTCAAATATTTCTTTAACATATTTCTTGAATTTTTTTTTCATATATTATTATTAAAAAAAATATGTACACTAAAAACAGTTAATACATCTATGCCTTTTGAATATGTACATATATGTATGTATATATATATTTCATTTTACTTTTTTAAATATATTTCCTATAAAGAAATACACATATATATTTTTTTAAATAATTGTTTAAAATATTTTTTTTTTCAGTATATTTTTTTTTAGAATTTTTTATGTTTTTTAAAATATTGTTAATAATATTGATTATTAATTTTCCACATATTTTTTTATTAGATATATTAATGTTTTTTATTATATATTTATATATATATTTTTTTAAGTAATATTAAATTAATTATTTTTTTAATTCATTTCTTTTATAAGTTTTTTATATTTTTTCTTCTTTTTTAATATTTCTTTAATATATTTCTCTAACAGTTTCTTTCAGATACTATTATTAAAAAAGCATTTATATTAAAAAGACTTAATTTAATATACATATATGTATATATTTTTTAATATATTTTTGTATGTCTTTTTTCAACTCATTTTTTTTAAGTTTTTTGATATATATTTTTTTTATAATTTTTTTGTAATATGCTTTTTATATTTATTTATTAATTTTAATTTATTTTTTATAAATTTTTCAATATATGTATCTTTTACAATTTTATTGCATACATATTTTTAACATATATTAAATGTGTTTAATATATTTTTTTAAACATATGTATATATATATATTAAAACACTTTTTTTATATTATTTTCAAAATATATATATTTTTTTCAATATTTTTTTTTATATTTCTCCAATTATCTTTTTTTTATATTTTTTTAAAACACTTTTTTTTTATAAAAATTTCAAAATAGTTTTTATTTAAATTTATTTTTTATATATTTTTTAAAACATTTTTTTTGTAAAATATTCAAAATATTTTTTTATATTGTATATGTATATTTTTTAAAATACTTATCCTTATATAATTGTTAAAATATGTTTTTATATATTGTTTTAAATATTTTTTTATATATTATTTAAACACTTTTTATATTATTTTAGAAATAAGTTTTTATATTTTTTTTCAATATTTTTTTTTATAATTTTACTCTTATTTTTTTTATAAATTTTTAAAACACTTTTTATATTATTTTAGAAATAAGTTTTTATATTTTTTTTCAATATTTTTTTTTATAATTTTACTCTTATTTTTTATATATTTTTTAAACACTTTTTATATAATTTTCCAAATGTTTATTTTATATATTTTTTAAAATCCTTCTTTTAACTTAAAACTTTATTTTATATATTTTTATTATTATTTTTGATTATATTACATATATTAGTGTTATTTATGTTATATATATTTTCTTTTATTGTTTTTTTTTAATATATTTCGTATATAAGATTTTTTAACTTTTATTCATAATTTTTTTATATACATATATATATTTTTTTAATATTATATGTCTTTTCAAAGTTTTTCTTTTTCACATATTTTTCACATATATGCGTAAGATATTATTAATACAGATTCTTTATATTTTTATAAATTTTTATCAATCAATCAATTCTTCTCAAGCACAAAAATTTTACTTAAAAAAAAAAAATAAAAATATTTCAATGCGCCCATATTTCTTTGGGAACTCACTAAATCGTGCTCACATTCATACATACACATATACATACGTATTTATTTCGCACTAAACTTCGCTCACCATTCGCGCTCACTCCACTGAGTTCTGTTGTACACGTGGTCGCGCTGCCTTTGAGTTTCAAAGCTGAAGTCTGTGAATTTCTGTGCTATCACACCGGTTTATATATTGTCAATATTCTTTCTTATATTATTTTAATAATAGAATTGAATAATTTAATTTTTGTACAATTGCTTGTTAAAAATTATTATTATTTTCCTTATTTAAATTTTAATTAAATATTTTTTTTTTTTACATATTTTCCTAAACGTTAAAATCCAAAGCAAATTATTTGCCGATAAAAGAAGTAAAAGAAAATAGCAAATTAGTTTCACTTCAACTTCGCAGACGTCAACCAGCAGCAACCAGAGAGTAGTATTCACGTCCACACAATTTGCGCGCTCAATTCATACTAAAAGGAAACTGGAAAAACATACACTGTTGGGCTGGTAGACAGCGTGTACAAAAATACGAAATACAATTTTACATAAATACATATTTACATCTATATACATATATACAAACATATATATTCACATATACAAATTTATACAAACTGACTTTTGTTGGTAAATATGTATGCACAGCTGGCACTGGTTGCTCCATACAATTATACATATAGTACATACATATCTACATACCGTTGTCGTTTTCAATGGTTTTCGGTGGATGACAATACACCAGAATAGTGTGTGGTGAATGTGTTGTTAGACAACAGCAAAAACAAAAGCAAATACAAAAGCAGTTGCAATAGCAATAAGAGCAGCAGCAAAGTTCTCCAGACACTAAACAACAACAGCAAAAACATTAATAATATAGTTTGAATAAATTGCATTAAAACATACGCACAAGTATATACATATGTATGTACTTATATGAGTATATACATATATATAGTATGTATGTCTAAGCAAACGCCATGCTTTTAACAACTCATAAATATCAGCATGTGGTCGGTGGTAGTGAAGAAGCTACATACGTGGAGATAACATAAAGTATAGAAAGATAAAAAAAAACAAAAAAATACTCCGGAACAAGAAGCTATAAAATATTCGCCTTCAAGTCACTCATGCTCTAACCACATATACATATGTAAGTAGACGTTTGCTCACTCATTCAACGACCCACTCAAATTAACAACTCATTTAGTTGCTCACGAGCCCACTCGGGCTTATCATGAATTTCTTGGGTAAGAGTTGGAGTTGAAAATTTAATACAACAATAAAATAATAAAAAAAAAAACAATTAAAAATGAAAATGAAAAAAAAAAAAATTAAAAAAAATTAAAAAAAAATTTAAAAATAATTAAAAAAAAAAGAAACAAAACAAATTTTTTTCCTAATATGCAATGAACACAACCGCAATAAATGCCCTAGGGACTCCAGTTAAAAGCAAACTGCTCCTCCTTTTCGAGTGGGGAAGAGCGAACGTAGGGCAAGCAAATCAGTAATAGTGAAGACATTTTCACTGCATCCGTCTTACCACTGGACTAAATGTGGTACAGGCACAGTTGATAGCTCCAATAATGAAGCTTTGAACTCATTTCGGCCTTCAAACCATCGATGGAGTAATGGCTCGAATTGGGTGTGAAAGTCGATGGCGTCAAAACTCCGAGATAGTAATCCCAAATTACTAGCAGTCACATTCGGCAGCCCCGAAGATCGCCCATTCACCTCTAACACATTGAAACATCTATGCTAGCAGTCAAGGAGTGCAATGTTAAGTTGTGTTAGCAATATCAGTTTGGATGCTATCGTAGGGATCATCTCAACAGACACTTACTGGAAGCTGAACCAAGACGTAGGCATTTCAGGAAGGAACTAACTTGATCTAGTCAGCCAAGACTCCATAAAGCATTTAGAATGGAACCGCTAGACAGGATGATATACCGACAGACCTTAAACGTCTTTCAAACTAACTATGATAGACCAAGAGTTCGAGCTGCCACTAGAGAGCCGAATAATACTGACACTTATCCAGATTTGAGCTCAACGGACCTAATCTATGCACTATAGGAGATGAGTCCCCGAGCGATATTAATTACTTCCTCGCATGACATCTAAAACCAACTCTTTTAACAGCTTTCTTCCTCTGTTTTAAACCCCAAAGGACGTTGGTAGGCCACACTAAGGGCTGGGCAGTGGAAAAGGTAATGCTCTACTGAGTAAGACCTCATTTATGTGTCCGCAACCGCAATATTAATCGTTAGAGACAGTTAGTTAGGTTATTATGCCATTTTATATGCTCATGTAGATGCTATTTGGATGGACTAAGAACTTAGTTCTCTTCTCGTCCATCAATAACCAGTTCTGTTTGACCATATTGCTTTTAGCTATTGATCTTACCGGCGAAGGCCTAACTTATTGACTACTTTGGCGAGGATACTGGATTGTCCACGTGAAGCTTTTACTGCGGTTGTGTGCCTAGTTATCTTTTGAGATATCACTTTGCCCAGTTCACCAAACCAAGAACTTTTCATATACAGACGCTACTTTGTGTAAGACTCTTCTCTGCATCTTTTCAACAGCATTGAGGTGGTGTGATTGCGTTGAAGAGACTTGGCTGCGGATGCAAAATGTGCACTTCACAGTAGAGTATGAAACGAAGCCTGAAGCTTGAGCCCAGCAGCACATCAGTTGGCTGTAATGTGCACTTAATGCCGTAAACATGCCAGTTTCTTCATAACCTCAACCGAAACTGTTGAGATCGTCAGCCACAGAGTGCTACTAACGAATAATTGCCGGGGTTTGTAAAGGTGAACCATAAACTATCAGAGCGGTCGAAACTCATCGGCAGAAGATATAGGTATCCGTTGAAAAGATCGAGTGGAGAAGGATCTAGGAAGAAGAATAATAATAAGTGGATGAAGAAGAAGAATAAGGAGAAGAAAAAGAAGAAGCACAAGAAGAAAAAGGATGGGAAGGAGAAGAAGAAGAAGAAAAATAGCAAAATTGTTTGAAGAGCGTCAGAAGGCCAGAGTTCAAGACCTGCTCTGACCGACATCCAAAGTTTAGAAAATTAATTCTTTTAACTACTTTCGCCCCACGGCAGGTAGTGTTAAAGCCTCCAAGTATATTTCTGGCATCAAATAAAGGCTCCTCATATCCTCTTCCATTGGCTACTTGGAGGCGATTTAGTACAAATTTTAGAAACTGCCATTCGTTCGGCCAGGCTTCGAGTCCTAGTCCAACCAACATCCAAAAATTATAGAATATTAATTTAAATAAAAAATTAAGTTAAATTTTCTACAATAATTGCGGACGCCACACGAGTTTTTTATATTCATATATATATATATATGTTCTAAATGCAATCCTCTTATCAAAGAACTATGTAGGAACTACCTCTAGAGACAACAACAAACTCTCTACTAGATGACTCATATAAAATTCAAATATATTTGCATTAATGCTTATCTCTGGTTTATTATCTACGTCGACAGTAGCTAAATTCGAGTTCTTGTCACCTTACTATGTACGTACAATATATATATATATGTACATAAGTATGCATTATCCTCTATTGAGTACCCAACCGTAATCTCAATTACTTTATGAGCAATTGCATGCTAATTAATTAATTAATCGAAGTGTCAGCTTATCAGCGTATAAAATATATAACTCAAACCGGATTGGATGGCAAAAAGTCAAAGAGCATTGTAGATTTATGTGTATATTTGTATTATTTTATATTCTATAGATGCATTTCATGCATTTTTATGTGACTTGATAAGAAGGCATTTAAATGCAGTGCAACAGTTGGGCACACACGAGTGTCAAGTTGTTTACATTTACAGTCTTCATACATATATACAAAGGCGCATGTGCAAATATTTAGCCTTCACTACATTTTGTATACTTTTTCTAATATTTTTAATTAAAAAAAAAAATTCTTTAATATTTTTTTTTAATTTTTTTTAATTTTTTTTATTTTTTTTTTACTCTTTTTAAAGTTTTTTTTTATTTTTTTTTTAAATTTATTTTTATTTTTTTAATTTTTTTTAAATTTTTTTTTTTAATTTTTTTTAATTTTTTATTTTTTATTTTTTCACTTTATTTCTCCCACAACCGGCTTTGATAGTTATCACCTCGCCTTGCAAAATAATTAATTTACCAGCAAATTTTTAAAAGCTTCCGTCTTCTTGCAGCTGCAACTCGCACCCAATCGTTGGTTGTTGTTGTTGTAGCAGTTCGCCTGCTTTGACGCCTCGCTGGCGATTATTAAAGTCTTAGGCTGCAACTACCCAACTCACTCTCCAGCCGTCCATAACTGACGACGTTAGTAGTGAAATACATACACGAGCTATCGACGCCGCTGAGAGCGGCGAAATGTTGCCAGCTGCCTGTGTGTTTGCACACTTTTGAACAAATTCATAATTTTCGTCAACGAATTTCATAATTTATTTGCTTTAACATAAACACAAGGCAAATATACATGATCTATATAGTAACAAATAATTAGTTACGCATTTAGTTTTCATTTCTTTTGAACAAAACTACGCATTATCTTCGATTATTTAATGTTACTTTAAGAAAGGCTATACTGGCAACCTTGTATAGCAACGAAAAATGAGCCGAGCCGGTTTTACGGAAAAATCAAAACTTCGTTGGTTTCTGCGACACAAACGTCAGCAACGCTATGGTAAATCGGTGACAACTTTGTGTTTACATGGCGCTCTCATAAGATAGGTTACTATGGACGGCTGGTACGCGCGTTGGGTAGTTGCAGCCTTAGGCTTAGCTTAGGCTATCAAAATTTTATTAGCCACTGCCAATGGCTGGTCGGCAATTAGGTGCAGCCGAGACTTGTTTTACATGAATACATAAAGTTTCGAAATTATTTTTCAGCAAAATAATAAACTCAGCTGGGAGAGGAATTATTGTAAAAAAAAGCAAAGGAAATCTTGTTAGACGTATGAAGTGACTGAAGCGCAGTGCAATGGAGTTGATAATGAAGTTACAATGCCGCTTCTATCGTTATCGAAACGAAGTGGATACATATACATTGTATATGTGTGTGTGTATTCTTGAAAACAAATGGCTGAGGAAAACAACATTTGTTATTGTTAAGGTATAAGCTGAAGGTCAATAGCAGTTAAAGCGACTTATCTCCTACAAGTGGAAGACAATGTACAACTGTGCAGCGAGCATGTACTCGTATAATTGTTTATTGTTTAATTATTTTTAAATACACCAGTTGGATAGACTTTTGTTTTTGAAAATTAAAAAAAAAGAAAACGTTCTATAATGCTTACATAAATAAAACAATTATTTACAAATAGTTTTAGTTTGCTTAATTTTATTCATTTTTCATTTGTCATATTCTAATTTTTTATTTAATTTAATTGTTTATTTTACCCAAATGGGAAGTATCATATACAGTACAGTCAAGCTCATGCAAAAACTGGCTTTCAGATAGCTTAAAAGAGGAA